TCTCTCTCTCTCTCTCTCTCTCTCTCTCTCTCTCTCTCTCTCTCTCTTTCTTCCCCCATCTAAGAAGGTGCATGCATTTTATTTGCAATACAAATTATCTTGTTAAAAACTGACCTTTTACTTTAAATTCGTATTAAGATTGCTATGTATGAATTGCGAAAATCATAAAGTATGTAAAAAGATATTATATTGCGAGAAAATATTTTATTGAAGTTGCTAAAAAATCGATCAGATGTTAAATATATCCTTTTTATTTTAGTTTACATTTCTGTAGGAAGACAATGATGTGTAAGGCAAAATTCACATTTTGTAGATAAAATTCAAGCCAGTGAAAAAGCAATGTTTTCCGGAAATAATCGGCTAAAATTGATCTTTTCTATTAAAAATATAAAAATAAATAGAAATCTCTTTTTACGATATTCATCAATTGAAAGTGCTTTCGAATTTAAAACTTGTCTGAATAAAATTCGTTAAAGCGACTCAAAATCAATATAACAAATAAATTAATTTAATAATTAATTGTCAAAAGATGTTAAAAGATAAACATGAAGATTTATAACAGTAACAAATTTTAATTCTATATTAGTATTTAATTTTTTTATTACATTAAAAATTAATATAAAATATATATCTCTCTCTAACATTTATATATCTTTTGTATATCAATTAATTTGAATTTAAAAAAATTTTATTATAAAGCTTTATTATTATTGATATATTTTGATTTTTATGCTATCGATTAGCATGATTTATTAATTAAAGGAAAATCTTAAAAATAAAATTATGTAAATATATTTTGTATATAATCTCTATATATTAGCTATTTTTATAGTTTTCACAGTTTATTGCACTGAATAAAGACCGGAAGAATCCGGACAGTAAGAATCAGAATTTACCATGGTTCTTTCACTCTCACTGGATTTTTCCGGCCAGCTCTGATATAAGGACTTCTTTTAGGATGTCGTAATTGATAGATTCGCATCGTTGATATCTTTTGAATTTTTATGTATGACGTAAGAATGATCGGTGAATGAAAAACCCTATCTCAAGTTTTATTTTCTTAAGAGCCTTCTTATCAAGTAACATAATTCATATACTATATTTTGCCTCTTTTATTTCTAACATAAAGACCTCATAATAACATATACGTTATATTTGAAATTTCTCAATATCTTCATAGGAACTACTAAACATTTGCTAATCACTTGCATAATGCTATGATTAATTAATCACGATATTTCTTCTTAATCAAGATTGATCTAGCGATTTTAATCTTGAACGATAAGCAATCTCGCTCTCTTACTCACGCACTTTCGCCTCGTATTACAATTAGAGAAGTAACCGCTATACGCGTTAGATTTTTCTTGCTAGATTAACGCGCGTGAAACTGTTGGCGTTTTTCCCGCTCATTAGCATCGGTAAGCGAACGAACACATGTCTTATCTCACATTATTAGATATTACGTTACCTAACCGAGCGTTTCTCGCTTTGTATAATGAATGTATAAGGCGTTCGTGCTCCAATTCGGCTTTCCCATTAATCCTCCTTTCTGGACTTATCCGTCGTTGCTATTCAATTAAAGTCCTCTCTAATCGCACAGAAGAGAATCACAAGCGTAACCAGTGTCTTTTGATTACACAGTTCAACAAGAAAAACAAACACAAGAAATGGAATAATTCATTTCCCGTAGCTTATTCGACGCTATGACTCCATCTTTTAAATTACTCCATCACGTCACGCGTTTTTCAGAAATTTGCTATTTAAATAATGAGCTAATTTATCATGTTGTAATATTGTGACATGTTAGAAAAATTCTGTTGCAATCAAAGTTACATATGTGTTGTTAAGATTTCCAATTTTCAACAGAAGAATTTGTTGCGTCAACTATAGTTATAAGATATTCATAATTATTAAATGTTTAATCTTTCTATTATGGAAAAATTGAGAGAAATTATCATTGTGGATTTCTCAAATAATTTTCAATTGTGTTTATAAAAAATTAAACTTAAGGATTTTTCAAATTATTGAATATGTAAATTTTTGATATTAAAATTAGTTAGCAAGTTCAAAATCGATATAATATCAACAATTAAAATCAAAATTAAAATACTCACAAATTTTTGTCAAAATTTATATATAATTCATATATTTTGAATTGGTCAACTTTGATAGATTCATATCCAGCGATCTAAAAAAATATAATCTGATTAAACATAATTAAAAACTAATAGATTTTCAATTTCGTAACTTTTTTAAAACCTTGCATTTAATTGATAGCCTACTATAGTGGTCAATTTTTTTTCAATAAATTTCTTTTTCAAGAACTGAAAGTCATAATATATTTTTGATTGAAAAAGGAAATTTCTCCAACATGTCACATCGTAGCTATAACACGATAAAATAGTTCTCTTTGCAATTTTAATCACAAATTACAACATAATAAAGCAGTTTAGAAACTGGAAGTTATTTTTCATTGAATATTCAGTAGGATTTTTGTTAACTTCCAAGCTTCGAAAAATATTCCTGCAAATTTATATAAGAGAGAAATGATGAAAATACTATTAATACTATTAATAGTAATATTAAAAATGAATTGATATATTAATAGTATGAATTGATATATTAATAGTAATATATTAATAGTATGAATTGATATATTAATAGTAATATTAAAAATGAATTGATTCACATATACTTAAAAAATTATTAAAAATCAAAATTTTTACATCTATTTTTAGACCATTTAGCGACATAATTAAAAATTTTAATGAGATTTGATTATATAATTTTATAATTTTATAATTAAAATAATATAGTATAATAGTAATTTGGATCTTCAAAGATTTTAATACCGAAACTTCTAATGTCGAAATAAATCACCTAATATTTAGTTGTTATTTTTGTCGATGCTTTCGAGGGAACGCACGAAATTTACATAGGATCTGTACGCAATGACTTTCTCTAACAGGTTATCGCCAAGAATCATCTCTTTCTTCGAGTATGTTACATTGTGCGTGCGTTTCTTACAAGCGGCACAAGGATGTCTCAATGGGCCATCTTCCTAATCATACTTTGTTCCTCTCTTTCACTATGCTACCCTGACCCACATCTTGACATGTTTACATTTGATGAATTTTAATCCTCATCAAAATGAAATGTCTGATTAAATGGCACGTCAACGCGATGCGAGTACAAGATTATTACTAATATTACATCTCATCATTTCTTTAATTAAGAGTCGCTTCGATTGTATGAATTGACTTTAATAAATATATACATACCTGTCTCTCTCCCTCTCTCTCATTTCTAATTTATTTTAAGCTGTAGTTTCTCGATTGTGTGTCAATATTCTCGATCTTCGAGATACCGATGCGGGAAGCATCGAAAAGGAAGTTAGGATACTTTAATTAGTACAAGGGATAATTGGTACTAGCAGAAGAGCACGCGATTTTACCGTAGCTGGCTCGTGGGAGGCTGTTGAAAGTCTCACAGGAGGTAACAATCATTTTATTATGTCGTTACCTACACGTACCCTTTCTCGATTCTCGTAATTGTTAGTAACAGCTTAGTCTAACTTTTCTCAATCTTTCTTCTTTCGAACCATTTTCCGGGTTTACTCGCTATTTCTTTTCTTATTAATTATTTATGCGGGATCGAAAGAAAGAGTGATTCAAATGGATTCGCTAAAAAATTTAATTACCTTTATTTATGTTGTGCAGCTCTTACGATTTCTAATAAAAAGATCTATCACGATTCTCTTGAGAAGTTATTTAATTAAATTGATGTATACAATAGTGTAATCATATTTTATGCCAAATATTTTTTATTATAAATTATTTTTTTATTGTAAATGATTTTAGATTATTTTAGATTTAATTATTATAAATGATATTGATTATTCGCACAAATGAATTGATTACTCGGAAGTGACAAAATGAAAAGATTGTGCAAAGGAAAACGAGAAAATGTTATTACTAAAAATGTATTACACAATTTCTTTTATTTAGCTGGTATCATTAATCTCAGGTGTTATTAATGTAGTTATATTATTATTGGCTGCTGATTAATTTCTATTCTTAATATTTTATTTATCCTTCGATCAGATCAATAGACTCAGACATTTTCTTAGAGTTTGATATTAAATTTTGTATTCATATATATTAATATATATTTCATTAGAAATTATGCAATCCCATAATTTCTTATTATAATAATTTTCGATGTTATAGTTAATTATATTTAACTAATGGAAAGGATTATCGTTCAAATATTTTTGGCAAAGGCAGTTTTAAAAGCATCATTTTTTTACTTGGAATAATTATTGTCATAATAATTTTTCTCAGCAAAAAAATTGCATAAGGTTCGCATTTTGTATGAAAAACTTTGATTCTCTCCTATAATTAACTAGGCTATGAATTATTTCCATAATTATTACTCCCGTATAATACTAAATTACACGCCGTTATTGAAGCTTCAATGAACTTACGAGACATATAATTATGGACGCGACAATATATGCAATTTATTATAAATACCATTTCCATTATGTCACAGAAGGACGATATCATTCTCGGCTTTACGGTACATTTCTCGTGCGATAATGACATAATACCTCGTGTAATATCATGTTTAGATAGTCAGGATTAAATTATTAATAAGCCATAACAGATCCGGCATTCAAGCATAATGATTCATTTAACCGAGCGTACATAAAAACGTCCCGAAGGTCTTTCGCGCATGTTTAGAGAAAGGGGGCAAGAAAAAAAACTCACCTGCCTTCGCAATTTCGTTTCATTCACTCCGATCTGTCCGGATGGTCCTTGAGTGCGTAACCTTTGGATGAAGTCACCGAGCATCTCCTTCATCATCCCGGGGACGACTTAAATGCCATGCGAGTAACATCGTCTCGCGATGTTCTCATCGATGTTACCTCTTATTTCGAAACGAATATATCATATTATAAAATATACGTATAATAATTAAACTGCGGGTAATTCTCATCATGGAAAAAAAAATCCTCTATTCCAAAAGCTCTTCAAAAATTCACAGAAATATGTAGAATATACAGAAAAATATAGACATTTTTATAGAAATCTTTTTACAGAAAGTTAAATATTATTATGCGTTCAGAAAGAATCTATTTAGTAATGAACGCATTGTCTGATATCGACGAGCTTTTCAGATCTTTCATAAAACTTGATACTGCCTTTCGCATATCCCACTGGGCCTCCGACAGATACGACTCGCACGACTCGTTATTCATCCTGGTGATCTGCTTCATTCTGGCGACTAGCACCGACTTTTCGCTCGGGCTGAAGCAAACCGGCACGATCTCATCATATGTATACTTCACCACTATCTTGTCAGGAGTCACATTCTCTGGTGCTGCGTATATATGATATTGATCGTTTAAAATATGATATTCGTTGTCCAGGGAAGCTGACAGAACGAACGTCCTGGAGAACGATAGTACGTTGGTGCCGGAGCTTAGCTTTTTAAATAGACCCGAGACGCAGAACACGATGCATTTGTCGTCGTCGTACATGACGTCGTATGTAAAGGAACCCCTGTCGTGATAGGACCTGGGCAATTTGCTCAGAGCTACCAGAATGTCCTCCTGAGTGTGATAAAGGAACGTATTTTTCTTTGCGCCTTTCTTTAAAAGATTCCTGTTGCCTGTGTAAAGATTGAGGCCAGTTTTTTGCGCCACGGAATTGGGAATCGCACAGCTCATGGAATAAAACGCGTCCTTGTGATAAAGTCCTCGTAAACATGTCCTGTCTAGCTGATCGTGTAGATTGAAGAAGTGGTAAGTGAATTTATATACGAGACGCTGCGTCCTTTCGTCCTGAAAGTAGTCTCTGTACATTAGGGGCATATTTGGCACGATGGACACACCATCCAGCTCTTGCAAATGCGGGCAATATTTTTTTGCAGATTCGACATACTGGTTTGCGGTTGAATAATTTTCACAAAGCGGATTTCCATCCAGCCAAAGCTTGGTGAGTCTCTCCAGAGTCTTAAGAGGAGTTAGCGCATCCATATTCAATAAACTATTATGCCTCAGATCTAGGTATTTGATGGATGTTAAACTTGAATTCTCTATCGCTGATATGTTGAACAACTCGTTGCGTTGTAGATTCAGGTGTTCGATAGTAGTTATATGAGTTTTCGCCATCTTTAAGACGTGATTAGAAGTCCTGAGCTGAGACAATGGGCAATAGACAGTCTTGTCTATATCAGGATCCAGATGAAAATTTTCCAAATTTAAAGTCTTCTGATTTGGATCGTATCTCTTAGTTAGCGCAGTCAGTAGTATAGGTTGTATGTGTATTCTTAAATCATTGATCGAGGCATATCCTAAAGTTACCACAAGGATGATAGCATCACCCTTGACATTCTTAATAATCAGATTTGTTTTGCACAGCTTCTCAAGAGCAGGACCACAATTTCTTGCTATGAAATAGGCATCCTCTCCGCAAACTTGATACTTCACTGGTATCAAATCGATTGGTTCTATTGCCTTCAAAATAGCCTTCAAGACTGTCTCCTTGTCATACTGGAAGCCTCTAATGACTCTGATTTTATGCCATATATCAGCCCGAGCCATGAGTGCCCTTTCGTGGATCATTTTTGCTCCCATAGCTATTCTTATAGCAATTGAGGAATCTATTTGATAAGGAATAATTGGTACATTCTGTACCTGAACATTTTCTTGTTTCATCATTTTGTTGCATTAATTTGATGTACCTTAAATCGTTGGAAATCTTCTTTAGAAAAACCTCTTTTTCTATTATTTTTCTTCTCGTTTATTTTTAATCATATGCTTCTTTTTATTTTAAAGCTTCTTCAATGTTTACATGTCTGTCAGGTTACTTGTATGTTTCTCTGCAAATATCATTAGAAAGAAATGTATTCTCATGTATACATTATTAAATTCGAAGACTATTTAGATACTATAAAATAATAATCATACATGATTAATGTAGATGTAGTAAATATTAAAAAATTGTTTTTTATTTTCTAACCTACTGGTATCGGTATTTTTTCTTTTTCACTGTAGTATAATGTTTCTAATGGGCTCTGATAGATGCCACGACTCGATCATATCGATGGTAGGTACAATTAAAACCGTGAACTACGAAGCCACTAATGTTCTCAGAGGGTAACATATGACGTGCATAATTTCTGGTTTTGTTCTGTGCTACGTGCACGAAATACCAGTGCTATAGAGCAAGACGTTTATCTATATAAATATAAATAAATTCTTAATTTAAAATTTTTAAATAAAATTTTGTGGCTCTCTTTTTCTTTCTCTCTACACACACACACAACGAGACCGTAATATGTAAACAATAACGCGTTACTGTTTACATCAGCAAGGCTGAACATATTATTGGTCATTCGTTGGCAAAATATTCTATGCATTAAATAATATATACGCGGAATATTAATGAATTTTAATATTTATATTTTATTATTTACTTGATTATTTATAAAACAATTAATTCATTAATTTGAAAATAATATATAAACATGATAAATAAATTGTTATACAACTATTTTAATAACTGAACGGAATCTTAAGACGCGACCTAGGGTCATTCTTAAAATAAATTTAAATATAAGAACATGAATATCAGCGTATATTACCACCAGCATAGCTCTTAGATTCATAAGAGTATTGAAAACTTTCTCACTCAAAAGAAAATGCCTTTATGAAGGTGGAAAGATACATTGAAGAGGAATATTTTTTTTAATTTTATTAATTTTATTTTATTTTATTTTATTCATTTTTTAAATTTTATTTTAATACAGAGTTTCCAAACAGAGAATATAATATATATATATATATATATATATATATATATATATAATACATATATAAAATATATATTACATAATATATACAACTTAAATTATAATTATAATTTGTAATTTGCATAAAAACACATTACAAATATTAAATTATGTAGTATAAAAATAATTACGTTACAAATATATATATTATAAAATATATTACAAAATTTAATACAGAATATAATATACAATGATGTATATATATATATATATATATATATATATATAATGTATATATATATAATGTAATAATGTATAATGTAATAATGTATATATATATATATATATATATATATGTATATATATATAATATACAATGTATATTACAAAATATAATACAAATTTAATATAAAATATAATTTGAAATTTAATACAAAATAAAATTTATTATATAGAATTACATGAAAGTGTCCAAAGTATACGTATAATATAAAATTTACCAAAAATTTTTATATAGGCCAGACAAGACTGATTAGTGATGATTAATTATGCAATATTTATTATTAATAATCGACATACAATAATAGAATTTAATAGAATTTAATTAGTTTTATATAAATAACGTATAAACGTAAATAATCATAATCAAAAAAGTCATTAATAAAATTATTGATCGTTTCTTCGAAGAAAGTGTTTGCATTATTGGTGCATTTTGCGCGGACTATTAAAGATAATATTCAAAGAAAAGGTAGACAAAGCTTTGCTGTAAGTCAACAATTCAATTATAAAATATTAAATTATAAAATAAATCACGATTTAAAATTCCTGACGAATAAATATCGATAATATCTGGAATATCCGATTGCGATATGTATATTTTTTATAATAGAATAATCGAAACGCCTTCAATAGACATTATTATCGCGCGCGATATAATTATTATCATATAAATGCGAAAATATTTCGACAGACAATTTGATGTCTGTAACGTTCACGAATATATGTAGTACTCACTGTTCGATTCATTTGCGAATCCTTTATAAGATAAATCGCGACTTGAATTCACGGGAAAACGCGACGAATAAATAAATCTATAATATTTCAAATATTTAATTGCATATAATTTTTATAATAGAATAATCGAAGTTATCAAATACGCTGGTGACATATCGGTATGCGATAAAAAGAGGAGCGATCTTAAAAATGGGGAACGATTAGCGTTTTGTTTCTCATCAGATTTCGCAAGATCAATCTGCGAAGAAAAGTTAAGTGATCCATTGAACGTCAGGAACTTCATCGTAGGAGGAAACGAATCCCGGATCTTCCGGACTATTCCCAATAGCAATGATTTCAGTAATAAATCAATGACAATTCCCTCGTCATTATCTTCGATTCACGAAATTGATATTTACGTCAGAAAACATGTTCTTCCATTATTAAGAAATATATTTCTTTATTGAAAATTAAATGGATATAGCAATTTTTTATAGAAATATGATTACGAACGATTATATTTATAAGTAATAAAATCCATGCATCATTGAAGTTTGTAGTGAATGTGCGAATACAAATAATTTTGGGGTACCGTTAGCGCGCGCGAGACGAATCAAACCCGTTAACAGCAAGATTTAAAAAATTTCAATTCGAATAATGTGCAAAATAAAATAAATAATTTTAAATATATAATTAATTCTAGATTAATTCTCTAGATTCCTATTCTTATAATGTTTAAATTAATACTTTTTTTTTCTTTAATCAATATCTTGCTGATATAGGGGTACCCATTCGATTCGTCTCGAAATTTTTAAGTATTCGCACATTTGATGTAACATTCATGTATAATTTCGTGTATAGTATATATAAGATTAATAAAAATTATAAATGTTTTGAATACGTTAATTTGTGCATGTATTTTATTATACACATATATTAATATATATATATATATATATATATATATATATTATTAATATATATATATATATATATATATATATATAATGGTATATATCTAAAAACTAATATTTCAAAATGGCGATGGATGTCCAATATCTGCAAATAGTTTCTTAAAAGAAACTAAAAATTAATGTTAATATCCCCAGTACCTAGAAATAATTAATAATTAATAATAAAATATATTCGTTCGTAATCACTTTTATCAAACAGTTAATAAAAACTATTACAATATGAAATTACTTGAAAAATAAAAATTTATGCACAACGCTATATCCATATTTAATCTACTATTAAATCTTTCTGGCAATATATAGACAATAATAATACCAATCCTAATAATGATAGAACGAAGAAAAGAAAAGATACATTTTTCTCTTCTAAATATATATTATTTAAATTAATTCGACGTTAAAGAAGCGTATGGCGTTCGTCGTTGAATTACTATCGAAATCATTGCTTTCGGAAATTGCCAGGAAAACCTGGGATTAATTCCAATCTTACAATAAAAATTCCCAATTTTTTACAGAGCACCGAACTAGACGTCGCGAAAGGATCTCACAAGAACTGGTAAGAAATAATTCTCCATGATGAAAATCATTTCGACTCGTCGGCGGTATAAGCCACGCAACTTTCATTAATGTTTATTTAATGAAAGGAACGATAACTCTTTTATTAAAACAACAATCTCGTCTAAGTACGCGAAAAAGGACGCGAGAAAAACACAGTGTTTTTGCAACGGTAATTTATTAATTTATTTACATTTAAAATATTTATATTTAAAATATTTTCTAATACGAAAAAAAAATTCATAAATACAAATATAACTGAAAAAACAAATTATTAAATTCGTACTAATTAACTGGCGATTCTATAATATCGAAGGTGATCGTTAAATTTTGTGAAGCTAATATTTAATCCTTCATTTATCACATCGAATCTTCACTCTCTTATTCGACATTACTTTATATTTAATTAGCAATATTTAGGAATATTATTTGACGAGAGGAACAGAGATAAAATTCGTTTGTTAAAATGATAATCTTGTATAAGGACGCGAAGAGAACGCGGAAAGAACACGGTATTTTTGCATTCATACTTTGATAATTTATTTTAAGAATATTCAGTTCCGCGCAATATGGAATTCATAAATAAATAAAGCTAACAGAAAGCATATCATTAAATTTATAATAATTGACTCGCGATTCTGTAATGAATGTGTCCGTCAAATTTTATAATGCTTATATTTAATTTAGCATCGAATTTTTATATTCTATATAAAAATTTTCCGAATTTATTAATGACTCTTTGACGTGAAAATACAAACAGCTACTTTTATGAATATTCCATAAATATATACTACAGAAACTAATATTTTAATTTAATGAATTACTATTATGTAATCATTATACGTATACTTTTGATAACTTTTCGTGTAATTTACATAAGAATTTATAATCGTAAATACAATTTCATATAATGTAATTGTAGTCATAATTGTATTGTATTTTACACAATTAAAATATCAATGTTAGATTATAATTAAAATACAATTATAACTATTTATAATTTACAATTTATAATTTACAAATTTATGATGCTATCAATATCACATAATAATATTCGATTTATTCAAATATTTAATAACATCAATATAATAATTTGATATAGATAGCATTAACATTTGGATTAAATATATTATATTTGATTTAATACACATATATTTTTAAGTTTTAAAATAAAATATAACATGTTAAGATTTCTTAAACGTTAATAATTATGCAACTTCTTTAATATTTCTGAAGATAATTTTGATAATTTAAATTTCATTTTTAAAACATTTTTATTTTTAAAACATGTTATATTTATTTTCACAATGTTTTTAAAAATAAATTTAATTAAATTAAAGGTTCATTGAAAAAAGTGTAGTCGACCAAACCTGCCAGAAATTTTGTTTATTAATATCACATTTCGATCATATGGTTGTGGTCCTTATCAAGTATATACTGGAAAAGATTTATAAATAAATAAATTAATTAATTAACGGTTTGAATACATAGCACGCACAACGAATTAAAGTGTCAACAATTTTTACCGATGTAATAATAATCAGAAGACAGGCATAGACGATAATCTTGTAAAACTGCACAAATCACATTAATAAAAAACGTTATTTAACTAGATTCGAATTTGAGAGAAACTGATGCGTCCGTGTGAGACTTCGTCAAAAAATTAAATAACCTGAGGAAAAACGAAACTACGTGACCTTTATTATTTTGTCATAAATGTTGTTTAAACTATCCGTGTCTTTCTGTAGGTTGATTAGATTATTAAATCACTTGATAAAGAACAGCACTCACTCTCTTTCTAAATTTCTAAATTTCTAAACTTTATTGCTCGAATGTCATCGAGCAAATGATAGCAATACCATGACATACAAACAATAGTACCCCACATAGCATATTATACTAAAAGATAACGAAAAGATGTCTTTTTTAAATTATCTTTTTGACTAAGCGAAAAGATGTCTATGAAGACATCTTTTCGCTTTGTCGAAAAAGATGGCATAAAAGAGACATAATAGTATGTGGCACGTGTATCTTCGCTTGCCGCTACGCGGCAAGCCACTCTTAACTTTTCTCGTATTTAATATTTATTACGAAATGTATATAAAGAATTAGTAATTAATATAAAATTTGAAGCATATTTTTGCCTTTTACGAGCAGTAATGCCAGAAAGAGGATACTGCTCGCACGCATCAATCACAGAGAGCCACATACGTGTGCTACGCATTGTATGCATGTGAGCCGCATCTTTTTCCTGACATTACTGTTTATCAGTTTAATTTCTGACAAATTGAATTTAAAATAATTTATTTATATATATTTATTTATATAATTTATTAATAATCTGGATTTCTTATTGAGATTCAGAATACTAAACAGATTATTAGAAATTAGGCGGATAAATTAGAGAATTAGTCCATTTATTGTGTGTATTGTAGTATTTCTACTACCGAGTGTCGATAATCTATATAGAATGAATCAAGTCATCTTTTAGTCAACATATAGACAAGACTAAAAAGTCACTGAATTCGGATCATGAGACGACTTTGAGCCATCTTTTCGTTGACTTAACGAGTCAGTAATAGATGTCTGTGACAAAAAACTGTGTTCAGTTTTAGTAGTACTTTTAGACGACTTGGTACTGTGTTGGATGTTATAATAGAAATTAATATAGTTTTCGTAATAATTTCATATATATATATATATATATATATATATATATATATATATTTATGTATGTACAGGGTGCGTCACCAAAATCCGGACAAATTTCAATTTAAATTTCCCTCCATATTGCGCCTCCGCCCAAAGTCACCTTGGGCGTTTGAGTAAGTTTGATGCTTCTAGTAAATAGTCACAAACTCAAAATGGCCGCAGCGTCGACACCAGGCAGAGAATATAATCGAAGAGCCGCAATTATCGAAGGCCTTCGCGCTGGGCAGTCACCAACGGAAATAATTTGGTTTTTTAGATATCCGAGATCAACCGTCTATGATGTTGTGGCAAAATATCGTGCTTCAGCAGGACGGTGCACCGGCTCACACGAGCCATTTGGTCCAAAACTGGCTCTCAGACAACATTGACATGTTTTGGTCCAGAGAATTCTGGCCTCCCAATAGTCCTGATTTAAATCCCTTGGATTATTATGTATGGTGCGTTGTTGAAAGGGTCACCAACAAGTCAAGTCATCCCAACGTGACCTCATTAAGGACTGCTATTGAAGCAGCATTCGCCGATATGGACAGCGCTACACTGCAGCGTGCATGCGAACGTTTCAGATCGAGAATAGAGGCCGTTATTGAAGCTGATGGAAGTTATATAGAATAACCTTATACCCTGTAAGGACCCCCTATGTGATATGTGAAAGAATTTTCCTTAATAATTAATTTTTTCATTAATAAAATTTCGTTTAGAAAAATTGTTCGATTTGTCTGGATTTTGGTGACGCACCCTATATATATATATATATATATATATATATATATATATATATATATATATATATATGTATATACCTATATATATATATATGTATGTATGTATATAGAATTTAAAATTAACAAAAATTAGTTTTTATTTTGTCTGTATTAGAAACGTGAAAAATATGTTTTGTTAACTATGGTTTTAAAAACTTTTCTTATTAATGTCTTACGATTAAAAAATATTGGATACGTTTAAGAAACATATATAAAACGAATGTGTGTTACCTCGGGCATCATGGCATATCTTAAGTTCTTTATTGACGACAGCCACGTGTCATAAAACGTTGTGTTACGTTGTCTTTTAACAACTGATAATTAAAGGTTAACTGTCCATTTGATATCAATGTTGTCTTGTTGCAATGCAGTGGAAATTAAATCAAACTTCAAATTTTGTCTCGAAAATATTATAGTTCTAAGAAGTGACGTAGAGGAGACGATATATTGAATCCAATAAATATTATTGTTATATATATTATCTAACCGACATAAATAACTTATTGTTAGTTAATGAAGAAAAAATTGTATATGCATGTACTAATACTTGAATGTTTGTTTTCTTACGATACTTATTAGATATTCAACATGTGTATTTTTATACTTTATATATTATATAAGATCTGCACACTTTCATAAATGTTAACACACAATTGTAATTTTCTTTTCAAGCTTGTTTTATATTATGTTTTCGAACTTTTTCTTATTTCAAATTGTACATATAAATCTTTGTACGTATACATATATATCATTGCTGTGGAGGGAATAAATTTTTATAAATTTATAAAATATTTGAAAATACGTCTATTATTATGCATGAATTTAAAAAGAGACCATTATATAAATACTTGTTTAATTATACTTAGTTATTTTTAACTCACAGAATTATTCTTAATTATTCTTAGCAGAATATTTCTTTAATAATATAAAAATATTTTTAAAAATAAAAATGTTGTATATCAATTAATATATGAATGGACTGAATAAGTCACAAAAGGAGATCGGAGCATTACAAAATTATTTTCAATTATATTTTACGTAATTTAAGTGTTTATCACTTTTTTGGAAAAAGTAATTGATTTATAGCAGGAAAAAGAGAGAATTTGATTGAATGCACTAATTCGCACTGGAGAATATAAAAATTATCGTATATAAAATTACAATAGTATAATTAAAATAATAATGTAATTAATATTATACGTTTTTTATATTATATTATATTATATTATATTATATATTATATTAAGTATATTATGTTAAGTTAATATTAGGTAAAATTATATTATATACGTTATTATATTATAAGGTTATTCGATGCAAATAACGATAATAATAACTCGTACAATTATTTTAGTTATTTATGCTATTGGAAATATATATTTATTTATACTAGAACTACTAGATTTATACCAAAAACGCCACGCTATTGATTCAAACTGCATTACATGAATGTTACGTTACATGAAAACGTATAAATCACATTTTTAAATCCATTATTACTTTTCTTATAATCAGAATATCTTTTTATATAGTAAACGTGCCTCTTATGCTAAAGAGAAGATAGTCAGAAATAAATTAATATAAAAAGTTTATAATAAAATTCATTAAACAATTATATATACATATAATTATTTTTATTTATAGATATAACTATTTTAGTTTTACATATATATAACTTTTTTGTCAAACAATTTTTAAAGATTTTAATTCTTTTTGAAATAACGCGAGTATCTCCGCGAGTGAAAAAAAATAAATTACAAACGGAATGAAGCTAATAAGACGTCGTGGCAACGGGGATTGCCCGATTAGACACAGTACGATTAGACACAGCCAATTATATCGACCGATGCCTAGGGTAACCAGCACGATCAACCAATCGATTAGCCAATCCCACGATTAGCCAATCAAAGCCAGTTGTGTCCAATTGTAGTGTGTCTAACCGGAAGTATCTTGTGGCAACAGATTGATCATACGAAGCCAGTTACTGTGATCGCTAGTGAAACATACTGCCGCGTTACTTATCGCTTGATTCAAACTGCATCATATGAATATCATAAAAAATTGTGTATAAATAGTGGATTTTGAAAAGCATACGTAGTAATACAATTGTATATAGTAACACAATCGTACGAACGAATCGTCATTATATTTTTAATAAAATCAAAGATATAGTAAATACTTAAGTGAATTCGAATACACGCTGCGTATGCTTGAATATGACTGAAAATGTTACAAAATCTATAATTTTATAACTTCTTTAATCGTTTGTAGTTTGATTGTGGTTATCTTTTTATCGATGTTTTTCTACTATAATATTAATGAAAACGAAAAGCTGATAATAATTATATTCTTATATTCGCGATACATTCCAATGAATATATATCATTTTGTATTGTCATTTGTTCTCCTACAACAAAAATAGAAACTATTTACTTACTAAGAATTCTCTAATTTAATCTTAAAATATATATCCTGTGATCGCGACTATAAAAGGAAATCTAAAACATAATATTAAAAGATAATAACTTGCGATTCGTTAAAACTGAATTTTAAGGAATTTAATGAAAATATATGTATATATATGAATTTAACGAAATATATGTATATGTATATGAATTAATATCAATTTGATTAACACATCAGAATTAGTAGAGTGAGAAAAACAACTAATTCAGGATTCAACGGAAGTCGATTGAGTGCAAACTTTTACGAAAAATGCAAATTATGTTTGGAACAATATTATGTGTTTTATTAAAAGGTTTAATACTGACAAAAGCAACTAATACGCCGAAGGTTGATATCACTTCGAACATCTTCCAAGAAGAAAATATTTCCATGTATCCAGATTTAAATTTCACGCAGGTAAAAGATATTTTCGCTTGATTAAGAAACAATTGAATGTTATTGCAGTAGTGTAACTAAAAATAAATAGTAATAAATTATATATTCTACCTATAATAGGATAAGATTAAAAAAAAAGTAATTCAATATAGAAGAAAAAAGTATGTACAATGTTGTAAAAAAAAGATGGATAAAGTTTCGAAATTTTGTTTACAAGTAGATGTTATATAGTATATTAAATTTAATTACAACGATATTTTAAAATTTGACTGAATTATTTTGTCTGTCTCTCTCTTTCTCTCTCTCTCTCTCTCTCTCTCTCTCTCTTTCTCTCTCTCCATATACATATATAATTATTATTTCTAAAAATAACAATTTTTAAACTTAATGAAATTTTCTGTCTACTATCTGCTACATTAAAATATACATACGATGGCGCTTCAACAGATTTTTATGTTATTTTTCTTCAATTTTTAAAATTTATTTATTTTCCTATATATATATCATATTTATTGATATATAGTAAGCTTTATACTAATGTAAATTTTATTTTATAAAATTAATTTAGAATGTTAGCATCATTTCTTTATGTTAAGGATATGTAATTATATAACGAAACAGAGCTACTAAATATCGAGATAGAAACTCTGTCTAATAAAAAAATCATTCATCAAACATTCTTCAAGTTGTATCTATTAACGCTGATATTTTCGATCGACAATATATTCAATAATAATCACTCGAATTTATATTAATTTTCATTGTATATATATCCATTTATATACAATTATATCCACATATTTTTATGGAGGCATTATCGGTTTATACTATCGATTCATACTATTATTTCCAGAATTTGTTTGTATTAAAAATATAACGATATTCGAGAAAAAACTTGAAAAAGTTATAAATAAAAGAATTTATATAATTCTATGACTCTAATATTTAATAACTGTAAAGAAACAATATTTTTATTTTTGAAACCTTTTTATTTTTGAAGTACAAACATTAATAAAACTTTAGTAATATCGGCAAATTTTTGAAAAGAAATTTGAATTACGTAAAATTGTTAAAATTGATAAAATTGAGAAGAGTTAACTAACCTATCGTAAAAAAGAATCAAATCGTTCGACAAATTGTTTTAATAATTGCAAAGAGCTGCACTTTCGCTTGCACTACTTGCTGTAATGATGCTAAAAGCTGTTATGATTCCTCATTGACTCTCGTTAACCTATTGATTGATTTTATTTTTGACATGAGTTATGTTAGATATATAAGATGCTATAAAAAAATTAAAAAATATATATTTTACGATATGAATAAAACTACATCACATTCAATTTATATTACTTAGGAATGGTATATACCGGTATTATTAAGCAAACAAAAAACAAATGGCAATTTTTCGTTTAATTTTATAATTTATATAATTTAACAATAAATACAACCTTCAACAATATAATATTCACTTAATTCTTTTCGTACGTTATACTTTATGAAGGATATTTCAATGTCCGAGAAAAGTGATCATCATATACTAAATTTCAAATCTGACCGGAGTTATTCTGATAGTATGACTGTGAGAAATGGCCGAGAAGTCGATGAGGTTCCACTTGCAAATATTTCTATTATCCCAGAATCTATCGGTAAGTTGCAAAAAAATGCATAAAACATTAATAACAAAATCTATGACGAAAAAGTGTAAATATAATTTAAATTCAAGAGAGAATGGAAATCAAAAATATTTTCCAGTAGTAAGAAGAATATAAATTCTATTCCGTCCAAAAAAGAAATAAAAAAGCATAATATATATATAACAGTATACATAAAAATTGTCATAATTTAAAGTAAAGTCAATTTTATTAATTTGATACTCCGTTTTAAAGCAGTCGCAAATATTATACCTCTGATTTCTATAAACTATATATAAACTATAGGAATTTATCGAAAAATACTTGTCATTTTATTAAATGTTATTTATTCGTTTTTGCCATGAATTAACGATTACTTTTCTAAATCTGAAATGACACAAAAAATTCTTATATTATTTTTTAAAGGTCAATATTGTGCTAATTTCCATATTTTGTAGTTTACATTTATTTTTTTGTAGTTTAAATTTATTCCTTTATTTTCACATTATATTGTTTTTTTCTGAGTTAATTCACTTAATCTTATATATAATTATGTTAATACGTACGCTCTTAAAATCTCTAGAAAGCAAGCCAACATCTCTCAGAGCATTTGTACAATACGACAATAAATTTACAGAAAAAGTAAACGACATTTTTGTGACATTGAGGTAAGGAATCTAAATTCCCAATTGTTCTTTTATTTTTCTCTCTTTTTCTTAAATTCAACGACATATAAATATATCAAAATTTTAATTCTGTTATAATTTTGATAAATGTAAAGTGACTAAAATTTTATGCTTTTACAGATGGAACCGACCTGAATTTACCGATGAAATAATACAGGGATACACAGTGCAATGTTTTTTCATCGAGAACTTAAAAGAGATTCAAATCTGCGATGATAAAAATATTACAACTATAAAATTGGAGCACACGGTGCACAATCTAACATCTAACACGACATATTATTTTCGAGTACGTGCGCATACTAAAATTGTTGCTGGTCCTTACACGGATTTAATCAATGTGTCGACTGTGCATGAAAATCCAATACCTAAATTATTAGTCACATCGGAAAAAGGCATCCACATATTAGACGTGGATTTAAACATTACTAATTTCATAATGTCAGAGTACGTATACTGATAAAAAAAATAGTTATATTTATCATAAATTATTTTTAACACTAAGTATAAAATTAAAGTTATTATTATTATGCACAAGTTTATTATTATCAACATTATAGCAGTAATAACTATAAAATTAGAAATTTCAATTATAACTTTTTACTATACAATTATAATTGGTTCCTTTCTTTCAGAAATGTAGAATATGTCTGTTATTCGATACAGGAACGCAAAATTTATTGGATAAATGGAAGTGATCTAATGATATTGAAGATTAATGAAAATAATAACACAAAAATAGCTGGCTTTTATCGAGGAAAATATTTCTGCGTTGACTGGGTAGCAAGAAATTTATATTTCTGGCATTATTTACCCTACTCTTATATTGTAAAATTCGACTTAACAATGTGGGAAAATGGCATAATTAAATTTGATGAAATTTACAAAGCAGAATGTTGTATTTACCATTTAAATGTACCGTCTATGGGGTACGTTTACTACCGTTTATCTGAAAAAATAATTTTCCATTAAAGGTTTATGCATATTTGTAATTTTTCTATAATTTTACGTGGTTTTATAATTAAGATCATAAGTAAAAAAAATAATAAGTTGTAATATAATTAAAAGAATTTCGAATTTTTACTACGTACAAGTTTCTACTTTTGTTAAAATAATGTTTTACAGTGAGTAAAATAATTATATATTTTTCAGAATTTTATATTTCCTATTTCGCAATTTAAGAGGTACAGAATATAATATAATGAAATATCATCTCGATAGAAAAATTGAACAAATTGTTCCAGTAAATACATCCTTGTGCCCTGATAACAATTATGTTCCTAATGATATGATAATTGATGACATAAATAATGAGGAGCCGTTAATTTACTGGTTATTTTCTAATAGCATATTTGTGACAGACATTAACGTTTTTAAATGCAGTAAGATTTTACACATGAAAAACGTAAATGATAAATTCATACTTCGCTCTATTACAATTGACAAAACAAACATTTACATTTTAAGATATAATTCGAATGATATATACGTTTTGAAGAAGAAATATGCAAGTCTCAATAGCGTAAATGCAGAAAAATATGTTGAAAAGATAATAAGCGCAAGTAAAAATAAACGTTTTTATCAAATTGACGCTTTTGATCAATCTCTACAACCATACCCTCCAATGAGATGCCTGACACCTGACGAGAAAGTTTATAATTTTGAGAATGTGAATGCAACAACAAACAGCATCAGTGTGAATCTTCCGGAGCCGGTTGTAAAGAGTGGATGCAAAAAATATAATTTACCAACTACTATATATACTATCTCCATAAGCTGTTTAGACAACAATCTCAACAAGTCGGAGAAATTCAACGTGCTACGATATGTGACGTTCGAGCGATATTACGAGATTCAGAACTTAACACCATTTACAGAGTACAAATTGAAGTTTACTTTAAACAATTTTTACTTTGATCAATTATCAATAAATCCATTTGATTCGAATGTGATACCAATAAAAACTAATTCCGGTAAGTTTGATGCACCAGAAAACGTAAGTGTTCTAGCTTTAACGCCTACTATAGCAGTAGTTCATTGGATGCCACTCAAGAAAGTGAACTGCGTGACCGTGACCTACGAAGTGCATTGGAAGTCAGTTACATTAGTGAACGGCACGCAACACAAGAGCAAACAATTTATCAATGTGCCGAAACGTACGGCAGACGGCAGATTTTTCACAAAGATTAACTTGTCGCTACCGGTACAAGATTATATGATATACGTGCGTGTATATCCAAAAAATTTCAGTGATTTCTACAACGAGAGTTTAAGCAAGATCGTTCACATAGAACCAAACAATATTACTTTGAGCGGGGTCGACATAAATAGCATGAACATTTCGTGGATCTCAAACATTAATCTGACGATTTTTTGTATACTAGAGTACAAAGATATTGCAGCAGAAAAGTGGCAAACAATGAATTATATTAAAATGAATTATAACAGTGAAGTAATATACAAGGTCGAAAATTTACAATCGGGAACTTTATACAAGTTTCGCTTGAAATTGAGATACATCGAATACGAGGAAGATTTAACATGGCCGGCTGATGAAAGATTTACTTTTTCAACACGTGGTAGCAAACGTGGTAAGTAAATGAAAATACCTATACAGCACAATAAGATTGCAGATATAGTGAAGAATAATTTCATTGAATCATTGCAATATTGCAAATCATTGGAATGGAGGGGACTTAATTTTCGCGGGGTCAGTTTTCCCCCTAGAAAATAAAGTATTACGGACATTTTTTCGTACGATGTGTATTTCTTGAGATATTTCGATGTCTGAAAATAAAAAACTCATCTTGTATTTATTTACATGTGAAAAATGCATAAAAATGCATAGAAAAATATAATAATATCTAAATATAATATTATCTATTCTTAATAAAAACATATATTATCTTTGAAGATTAATATCGTATTAGTAAATGAAGTGAGAACATATTTGTAATATTGCAATATTGTTACAAAAGTAGTTGTAATATTCTGCATAGATATTATGTTTTAATTTTTTTAGATATGAATATGCCTAAAATTTAAAAAATTATATTTTGTATTAAAGTTATAAGTAAAATTAAATTTGTAAAAACATACACAGACGAAGATATTAAAATTATATTTTTGCTTAATATAGATATTCCGAGCACTCCTGGAATAATAGCGAAAGAATATTACTTATTATTCATGTTAAGTTTTATCGTTATAGTTACTATAATCTGCATCTGGTACTTTTATTATTGTAAGTATTTGATTTAGGTATCGACTTGAATTGTAAATTATACATATATATAACTGATATAATATCTAGAGATTTACTGCAAATAGTAATTTACTTATATAAAACTAAACGAATAAATTTATTAAAAACAATAGATTTTATAATACATATTATTACATAATTAACTCGAAATTTCATAACAGTGCATCGCAGAGATAATGAACAATATTTGTCTTCAACAATGAACGATATGGAATTGAAGATTCTACATGTACCTTGGCGAAACACTCAATTCATGATTGACAATTTTACGTTACATTATAATCCAGATGAATGTGCGGTAACCATAGTCGCACGTAAACAGATTACATTTACAAAACTTCTTGGAAGCGGCGCATTCGGAAAGGTAAAAATTAATTTTTTCAAGCAATGTTTCAAATTAATTTTTGAATTAACAAAACAGATATGTATATTCTAATAAAGATATAAATTACATAAATTTTTATAATAGATTATAAGTAATATAAAATTTAGATGAGACAACAAACATGCACTTTGTTATACATTTTTCGTTGAATTATTTAATATAAAGTAAAATATAATATTACTTGACATTAAACTATATACATTTTCTAATGAAGTACGCATGTAAATTTGTGTGAAATATTTTGCAGGTGTTTCAAGGAAATGTGAAGAACTTAGAAAGATCGGGCACAGAGATATCCGTTGCAATAAAAACGCTTCGGAAAGATGCTTCTTCCTATGAGAAAAAGAAATTGTTAAAGGAAGCCAAGCTTATGAATCATTTTCGACACAAACATATATTAAGATTGTTGGCCATTTGCTTAGATGGGGATTCTCCGTTATTAGTGTTGGAATTGATGGAAACAAATCTGTTACAATATTTGAGAGATTGTCGAAATTTGGAAGCGTCAGATTCGGCTGCTTTGCGTTTGCAGGATTTGCTCGCCATGTGCGAAGATGTTTCGCGAGGTTGTTGCTACTTGGAAGAGTTGCGTTTCGTACATAGAGATCTAGCGTGTCGCAATTGTTTAATATCTTCGAGGAATCGAGAGAATCGTGTCGTCAAAATTGGGGACTTTGGACTAGCTAGAGATATCTACCAGAATAATTATTATCGCAAGGTATACAGTTATGAAAAAAAATTAATAATTTAAAAATTAATTCTTTTGAAAATACATTCCATTTTTTTATCATAATAGTATCGTGCATTGTTTCTTTAAGTAATATAGAATATAAATAATTTTTATTTATGTAAAGCAAGACATAAATAAACGTTTTTTTCATTTTGCACATATTCTATAAATGAACAACTTAAATCAAAATATTAAATTTTCGTTTAAATCATGTTTTAGAAAGAAGAATGTTGTCTTCCTATTCGCTGGATGGCACCCGAATCTTTGATGATTGAAATATTTACTTCTCAAAGCGATGTTTGGTCATTTGGAGTAATAATGTGGGAAATTACATCGTTGGGTGAGAAACCTTATACTGACAAGACTGAGAATGAAGTGATATATCATGTACGTGCTGGAGGCAGGTTGCCGATGACTCTTAACTGTCCGCCACCATTGTACCAGTTGATGCTACGTTGCTGGAGTGCAGCGGATGCTAGACCAAATTTCAAATTTTGTCTGGAAAATATTATAGCATTAAGAAAGAACATGGAAGATGCCTTACTGAGTCCAGTCGATGTTATTTAGTCGATATAATTAAATTAATGTTTATCTTCTTTTTCGAACGATTCAATAAATGCAGGAAAATTAATTTTAATATTTCTAAATTAATTCTGTTATTTTTAGGTTTAATCTTAATATTAGATTTATTATAAAGAATTCGTTTGTTCTATTTTAATATAGCTAACATTATTTTTATATATTTTTATTATAATTTTCATATCAGTATAATATTTTTATGCTTAATACCTTATATAATACAATGTACTAAATTAAAATTAAATATAATTACAAAATAGTATTACTATTAATAAATAGATTGTATGCATATTGTCTTTTAGTTTCTAATTATTTCCAATCACTATACATTTCTATCCAATATATTCTCTTCTTCGAGTTCTTGAATTATTATATTCCTTTATGTTTATTGTATTCCTTTGTGTTAACATCATACAGATTACCATCACTTGTCATGCTTATTCCTTCCTATGGAGTCCATTGGAATACTTTCGTTCTCAGGTATAGATATTGAAATCACTATAGTTGCTTTTTTCTATTTTCTCGATTATTGTCTCTTTTTCTTTTATTTTATTCAAAAATATTTAGATAATATAACATATATTTATACAATTTTGGTACTTCTATTAGTCCGACTCTTCCCCTTCGATTTGTCTGGCATGTCTGACCCTATCGTAATTACGGCCGATATTCATAATTCACTCTTATATTTAAGATCGTTTTAAGTAAGTTGGAATGTAACTATTTTACTAACTAAACGAAATCTTAAAAAGCAATCTAAGATCATACTTTAAATGATGTTAAATATAAGAATAATTTATATGAATATCGGCGTACAATACCGCCGGCATAGATCTCAGATTCATGAGAATACTTAAACCTCCCCACTTGGCAAATGCCTTTATTAAGGTTAGAGAAACATCGAGGAAGAAAAAGTTTTTTTATTTCTTTTTTATTTTATTTTTATTCTCTTTTAATACAGAGTTTCCAAACGTAAAATATAATACACATGAATATACACTCGTCAACAAAATTGTCGCATAGGTAATTTCATGTAAAATTTTCGCATAACTTCAAATAAATATAACTACGTCAAAAAAAGGATTTGAAATTTTTTTTTCATTCTCAAGCTTAAAGCCTCTATTTTGAAACTCATTTGTCAGATTTAGAATTTATCCCCCCCCCTCTCGTCATCTCCTCAAAAGTAAGGACGTGTTACATCTCCAAAAAATTGCATACTTTGACGCATTTCACATGGTGGAATAAATTTTTTTCTCAAATTTCATGATAATATCGTAAAATATGGATTTTTGTGAATTAAAAAATTGTGTGAATTAAAAAAAAATTTTTAAGTAGTCCATTGAACGTCGGGAACTTCACTGTAGAAGAAAACGAATCCTGGATTATTCTCGATAGCAATGTTTTCAATAATAAATCAACGACAATTATCCTCGTCATTATCTTCAATTCATGAAATTGATATGCACAGAAAACATGTTCTTCCATTATTAAGAAATATATTTCCTTATTGAAAATTATATAGATATAACGACTTTTTTTATTGAAATGTGATTACGAACGATTATATTTATAAATAATAAAATACATGTATTATTGGAGTTTGTGTTAAATGTGCGAACACATATAATTCGGAGTATCGTTTGCGCGCGCGAAACGAATCGAACCCGATATCAACAAGATATAAAAAATTTCAATTCGAACAGTGTGCAAAATAAAATTAATCAAATAATTTTAAACAATTAATTCTGAATTAATTCTTTAGATTCTTATAACGCTTAAATTAATAATTTCTTTTTTTTTAATCAATCTCTTACTGTTATGGGGGTACCCATTCGATTCATCTCAAAATTTTTAAATATTCGCACACTTTATGTAACATTCATGTATAATTTCGCGTAAATAATATATAATATTAATAAAAATTATAAAAATATTTTGAATACGTTAATTTGTGCATGTGTTTTATTATACATATATATATATAAAATGGTATATATTTAAAAACTAATATTCTAAAATGGCGATGTCCTGCACATAAAATTCTTAAAAGAAACTAAAGACTAATATTAATATCCCCAGTACCTAGAAATAATTAATTAATAATTAATAAAATATATTCGTTCGTAATCATTTTTATCAAAAAGTTAATAAAAACTATTACGATATGAAAAATAAAAATTTATACCTAAAGCTATATCCATATTTAATCTACCATTAAATCTTTCTGGCATTAGATAATAATAATATGAATCCTAATAATGATAGAACATTTTTAACGAGAAGAAAAAATATATGCATTTCTTTCACATCTAATAATATATTATTTATATTAATTCGACTTTAAAGAAGTGTATGACGTTCGTCGTTGAATAACTACCGAAATCATTGTTGTCAGAAATTGTCAGGAAAATCTGGAATTAGTTCCATTCTTACAATAAAAATTCTCAATTTTCAACGGGACATCGAACTAGACGTCGCGAATGGATTTTACAAAAACCAATAAGAAATAATTCTCCATAATGAAAATCATTTCGACTTCTTGGCGATACGAGCCATTCAACTTTTATTAACATTTACCTAACGAAAAGAACAACGATAACTCTTTCATTAAAATGATAATCTCGTCTAAGAGCACGAAAAGAACGAGGGAAAAAGACGGTTTTCGCAACCATAATTTATGAATTTATTTATGAATATTTTCCAATACGAAATTCGTAAATACACGAATATAACCGAAGGAACAAATTATTAAATTCATAATAGTTAACTCGCGATTCTATAACATCGAAGGTGATCGTTAAATTTTGTGAAGCTAATATTTAATCGTTGACTTATCATATCGAATTTTCACTCTCTTATTCGACATTTCTTTATATTTAATTAGCAATATTTAGGAATATTATCTGACGAGAGAGACAGCGAAATTAATAAAATTCTTATGTTAAAATGATAATCTTGTATAAGGACGAGAAGAGAACGCAGAAAGGACACGGTATTTTCGCAATCATAATTTAATAATTTATTTTAAGAATATTCAATTCCGCGCAATATGGAATTCATAAATAAATAAAGCTAACAGAAAGCATAACTAAATCAATCAAGCATCATTAAATTTATAATAATTGACTCGCGATTCTGTAACGAAGGCGTCCGTCAAATTTTATAATGCTTATATTTAATGCTTATATTTATCATTAATTTAGCATCGAATTTTTACATTCTATATAAAAATTTTCCGAATTTATTAATGACTCTTTGACATGAAAATACAAATAGTTACTCTTTTACGAATATTTTAAAAATATATACTACAGAAACAAATACTTTAATTTAATAAATTACTATTATGTTAATTACTATTATGTAATCATACCTATATTTTCGATAATTTTTCGTGTAATTTGCATAAGAATTTACAATCGTAAATACAATTTCATATAATATAATTATAGTCATAATTGTATTATAATTTACAATTAAAATATCAATGTTAGATTATAATTAATATACAATTATAACTATTTCTAATTTACAATGTACAATTTACAAATTTATGATGCTATCAATATCAAATAATAATATCCGATTTATTCAAATATTTAATAACATCGATATAATAATTTGATATTGATAGCATTAACATTTGGATTAAATATTATATTTGATTTAATACACATATATTTTTAAGTTTTAAAATAAAATATAACATGTTAAGATTTCTTAAACGTTAATAATTATGCAATTTCTTTAATATTTCTAAAGATAATTTTGATAATTTAAATTTCACTTTTAAAACATTTTTATTTTTAAAACATGTTATATTTATTTTCACAACATTTTTAAAAATAAATTTAATTTAATTAAAATAATTTTAATTTATCCCTAGGATAATATTGAAATATTAAAAGAAAGAATGAATCTTTCTCAACAACTCTACTATTAAAGAATTCTAATAATTTTAATAGCTCTAACAATCCTACTATTACAGAATTCTAATGATCTCAAGAGCCCTAACAACCCTAATATTAATAGAAGAATTTTAATGATTTTACTTAATAGCCTTAACAACCCTATTTCCGGATTAACTAAAATTATTCGAGATTTGAGGAACCTATCTCTAATCATTACCTCACCTGATCATGTATATATTTTAGTCACGTGCCCTAACCGCGTGCCCTAACCGCGCGCCCTAACCATACTCTTCAGGCCAGTTGAACCTATCTTTCGTTGATCCTGGCCACTTTCTTTCTCGATCTCTAATCAGAGATCGAAGAAGAAGATAATTATTTCTTCTTTTGCCAGATAATTATAAATATTGCCGGCAAAAGAGCGTAAAATATTTACGCTTATTTAGTAACAATCGTTTGATTTCACGATCGTTCGTTAAATATTAAATATAACTTTATTTTAACTGAAATAAAGCCAAATTACTACAAATTTCTATAAATTATATTTTATAATAAAATATAAAATTAATGTGTGTATTTATCATATTACAAATTATTTAATTAATTAATCATTTGACTTTATATCAAGTTAAAGTAAAGTTTAAAAATAATATCTACAAACAAATTCTACGATAGACAAGCTATGAGCAATTAAAAGATAAGTTCGTATTATAAGAATAAATTAACATCACAAATTGATAAAATTGATAATTGTTAATGCGTGTTCTTATTTAATAAATTAGACATAATCTTTACAAAAAAATCTTTTCTCCATCTCTTCTTTTTTAATTAATATTTCAATATATTTTCGCAATAGATGCAAAGCATAAGTTTGAAAAAACTTATTAAAATTATTTAATTTAATTTAATTATTTAATTATGTAATTTAATTTATTTAATTTAATCTATCCTAGCTCATCCATTTTAAGGCAACGGATTTTCTACAATCTACAATCTACAATCTACATCTACATCTGCAATTTTTACGAATCCGTTACTTTAATGTTAAATAAAAGTTTTTTTCACTCACCGGCACTGATGCGCAACAGCGTAGTTGTTGTTATCGAAGCTAGTTGTCTGTAACATACAAATATAAAATTCATTTATAATAATGCTCACAAAATGCAATTAATATTTAAAACAATTTTTATCGCGCGGAATTTTATATCCGATGTGTAAAATAATAAGCAGATAAACACGTATGAAAAAATTTTATAAATTTTTGAAACTGTTTTTTACTCCCGACTGCTGCCAATCTACGGTTGGCAAAAAAACGGAGGGGGTATGTGTTTCACCGAGCTCGGATCGTTTGGCAGAAGTATTCTCGAGGAAGGTTTCTAATATATTTAAATAGAAAATTTTATATTTGACTTTTATAAAAATCTGTTTCTTTAATATTTCTGAAGATAATTAAATTATAATTCTTCTAAATCATTTATTTTTAAGTCTTATAAATCATTTAAATAATAAGATCAAATTATTGTTTGTTTATAACAAGTATTAACGATTTATAACAATTAATATATAAATAATAGATATTATTCACCATCAGGTTGCTCCGCCGATGCACGATGCCTCTCCCAGGCTTCCTGCTCCTCTCATGTTGTTGGCGCGCGATACTTTTAACGACACTCCCGCACTCGCGAGCGATATTTTTATATCGCTATTTTCGTTATTTTACGCGCGATACTGAACGGCACTCCCGCACTATTTTGATGCGATTAAAAATTTTATATTTGATCGCGCGATGTATATACTTAATATGTATGACAACGCGAGAATGCGACGCGTTGACGAAGCGCTTGCCGTCCGCGACTCGTTGACGGCATCGACGATGCGAAAGGGTACTTAGCTTCCTATTCAGGCACCTTAAGATTTATCATAAATTGAAAAATTTAAAATAAACCTCAAGGCACTATCCAAGTACTAAGCCCTCCCACCGCGACAAGGTGTACCCCATGGGAGGGTTATATTATATTATATATAATTTTATATATAATATAATATATAATTAATTTTGTATTATACTATATAAATTTTATAACTTATAAAAATATTAATTACTTACATCTTATTAATGCATCCATTTCCAAGACCTTCTTTTTTTCTTTTGTTTTACTTTGTCCTCGTGGCACTCCAATTCTGATTGCAGTCATTTGAATTCCACGTTGCACTTACACTCATTCATGAAAAGTTCCTCGTTGCACTTGCAATTGTAGTTAGAGAAAGAATTTGATAATATATAGAACGTCTCACATCACTACCTCATTGCTCGAGAGCCATTGACCGAATGATCGTAAGTCAGAAATATTATCACGGTACTGTTTATATCGTCAAAGTTGACTATGTGAAGAAGGAATTTGATGATATATGAAACGTCACTACTTTTTTTGTTCAAGGTTACTGTGCGAATGATCGTAAGTTATAAACCGCGATACATAGTTTATATATAGTCAAGATCGACTTATACTATGTTATTGTTATAATTTGTCGTTGAAATATTCTATGAGTGATTGACGATCAAGAAAATTTAAAATTGATCGAAATTTATTTAATTTTAATAAGTATTGTTAGAGAAATTATTATAATAAGCATTAATAATTGAAAGATTATAACAAAATTAATTCTGTTATCCCCTTTTATGTATCCACTGTTTTAATTTTGATTCGCAGTAATTAATGATTACGATTCGATAAGGATTTATCGTTGCGATACAGTTTTATGTCGTTTATCATAAATTAATTAATTTTTAATTATTAATAATTATATCAAATTGTTTCGATATTAATCGTAATCGTATTAAAAAAAAATTCGACAATATGCAAAGCATTTCGCACTTTATTGCTTGACTGTCACCGTGCGAATGATAACAAAGCCGTAACATATTAATAATAGCGTGCTATCGTTTACATTGCCAAAAGTCAAACACCATATTATTGATAATTCGTTGCCGAAATATTTTACGTACTATAATATATACATGAAAATATTAAATTGTACAAGTTTTTCAATTTATAGATTAATTACTCGATTAATTATTAAACAATTAATTAACACACAAATTTCGCATCTTTACTGCTCAAATGTTACCAAGAAAATGATAGCAAAACCATAACATACGAACAATAGCACATTATTGTTTACGTTGTAAAACTCGAAAACATTATATTATTGGTAATTCGTCGAAATATTTTATATACTATAAAATATACACGAGCGGAATACTAAATTATTAGATTTTAATTTATTGATTAAATTTGATTATTTATTAAACAATTCATCATGGAGCTAATTATTTGAATTTATTCGATTGTTTTAGAATAATTAATTAAGTTAGTATTAATTAATTCAATTTTGTTTTTTCGCGCAGAAAGAAATATACTTTATAGCACATCCCATCGATCAAATCTGATGGAGTAGTGTTGGACAACTAAAATACCACTCACAAAATTTCATATTGTTATATTTTTTCAAATTTACATAATATATGCTAAAAAAAATGTATAGTAGAAATATATATATTAGAATTAAGACTTATATAGTATAGATTTTTAAGTTTTGTATAGTATCTTAAGTTAAAATATTCATATTATTCCAAAATTAACATAACAAATTGTTCATAGCAAAAAATCTAAAATTAACAAATATTTAAATATATATTATATTTCAAGATTATGTATATTTTTTTGTTCTTTTAAAAATCTCAAAAATTCATCAAAAAAGGTGATTTATAATTACATAAATATAGTTTTTCCGCACAAAATTATACAAAAAAGTGTCGGCTAATTAAATGCTGCTTTTTCCAAACTTCCTATTGTAAAGTCAATGCTGCATGATTGTCAGTTTAGTCGTTATAAATGTATTCTTTCGAAAGAATTGTTTCTATTATTAATCATAAATTTATATAAATAAAGTTAATTAAGAATACGCGATCATGCAAAATATGATGTATTTAAATTAAATTTATCGATGGAAATCCATCAGGATTTTTCGAATGTTTCGCGCGATCTCTACCTGTTTAAGCATTCAACAGAGGGACACGCGTGATTGTATATATATATATATATATATATATATATATATATATATATATAACGCTATCGAATACCGATACAGTGCTAAGGGAGAGTTAGTAAAGGACATCACTTTATTTATCTGCGTATGTGATCATAAAGTGTCGAAAGAAAGTCGTTGTTGAAAATTTTAGGAATCGGGACTTCAGCAGTAAATTAATTCTGAAATATGTTTCGTCTTCTCGTGGTGGTGACGGTGCTCTTTATGACGACTGACGCGCAGTACTTATTTCCACATATTTTTTATTTTATATTGGCATAATAAATATCGAAAGTATAAAGATCGAATCTTTCTTGTGTCCGACCTCTTGGATTTAAACGCGTAACTTGAGCAAATACAATTAATACTTCAATACAAATTGGATAAAATTTCTTTGGTCAAAATATATGTTTTTATTTATTAGTCAAAGAGTAAATCAAATAAGAATATTTTTGAAAAAATGTCTCATTGCACCTTTGTAACGTTCGCTTTTGTTCATCTTGCTTTTATCCCTATTTAAACGACAACCGTTAATATAAATTTCTTTAGAGGTCATCAAATATATCTGCATTCACAGAATGTTATTTATGTTATTTCAAGGCAATATCACTGGACTTGGCAAACAACTGACAATTTACCAAAAGTTCCTCCAGTTCATAATCTTCCTTCAGTACATTTGACCAATATTGACAACGTGATTTATTATGGCACTATTAGCATTGGAGCTCCACCGCAGAACTTTAAAGTTGTATTTGATACTAGTTCCCCATATCTTCGAATATTTAAAGTGCTCAAAAATCCTGTTGCTTGTAAGTATCGTTTATATATACATGTACATGTGTATGCTTTTACTTTTAATTCATTAAATAAATTTCATTTCATGAATATCGATTGTAGATAAGCTTAAACTTCAATTTTTTAAATCCGCGAATATATATATATATATATATATATATATATATATTTTATCTACAATTATATTTTTCAAGTATAATCTTGGGATTTAAAAAGTTGAATATTATACAGATACATATTTATTTTAATTTTATAGTAATATTTAATATTATAGTGTAAATATTACAATGGCAAACTTTGGAATTGGAAAATGTTTAAATTAATTTAAATAATTTATCACATTCACTCTTTCAAGATACAAACAAACATTGATAACCAAGGATAACAAAAATGATTTATAAATTAATTCGATAAAAACATGTACAACATAAATAATTATTTACAAAAGCATGTTGCATATTTATTATAGATTAATAAAATATTATGTCTATGCATATTTTAAAATTTTTTTTAATATTTCTAATTTTCGATATTACTGAATATGCTTCAGTGGTACGTACTAAAAATACGTATATACGTTTGGAATTCAACCCATATATAATAAATAAAAGTAGACTACTTCAAGTACGATACCTCGATTACAATGTAACAGGATTCCTATCTAACGGTACAGTAAATGTAAGTCATTATTAAATAAACATTCTAATTTAATTATAACTAAAATGATAGTTTAAACGTTACTTAAGCAATCGTGTTCTTTTTTTTGCGTAGCAATGTACGATGTATTATTTTAATACAAACTTTACCGTAGATTGCCAACCTCAATATAGAGAGGCAAACATTTCTAGAAGTGGTAAACATATCAGACGAACATATACTTGAATTGTACTCAAATATATCTAACAGAAAATTTGATGGTCTTTTGGGCCTGAGTTGTTTCGACATATTCACTCTCAATGAAATAAAGCCTGTCTTTTACAACATGATTCAACAGGAACTAGTGTCATCAGGCATTTTCAGTCTTTATCTAAATAGGTACATATCTTTTCTATCTATAAGCATCGTATATCTATCTAAACGAGATTTTTTAATATTAAAATATTTATATTTGCACATTAAATAAACTTAATTTTAATTATCACACTCATACATATTGCAATATAAAGAACATAATTTGCAGAAACGCTTCAGCCGATTTGGGTGGTAAATTGATATTCGGTGGTTCCGATCCTGCTTATTACGAAGGAAATTTAACATATGTTGCTGTTACTCGCAGAGGATACTGGCAAATTAAAATTATTAAGTGCGTTATTTATTAAATTACATTAATGATGTTTCAACAAATTGTTAACGTCATCGTTTTGTAGTATCCAACTAAATAATTTTACTTGGTGCGAGAAAAGCTGTCAAGCTATTGTTGACACAACTACTTGGAAAATAATTGGACCAGAAAAGGATGTTTCACATATTAATCGACTTATTGAAACTAATTCACAGGGAAGTGTAAGTAAACGATATCTTTCAAGTAATTGTATCTTTTACAAAGCACATAATATTTGATAGAAAAAAGTAAATTATAAAAAATTGATAATAGCGATAAAAAAATAAATTATATGTATGTTCAAATGAAACATTAATTTCTATGGAACAATAACGTTAATTCTTATTTCCGAAATACTTATATTCACTAAATATGATTAATTGCTAATCTGATATTATGTTCTATTTAAAGGTGGACTGCAATAGAATTTCTCAATTGCCTATAATCAGATTTAATTTGCCTGGTTTTAATTGGGTTAATAATACGTTCGTTCTTACCGGTAATGATTATATCATTCGGGTGAGTGCCATAAGAAAATTATTTAATCTCTATTTATTAATTTGTTAAAATTATTTAAATTATTTAAATATGTATAAGAGAAGTTTATATCGTGTATTTAATTCTACTCAGGATCCACATGATAAAAATACATGTGTAACCGTCTTCCGGAAACACGAGTCAAAATATGACGATTATGTAAAATGGGTTCTGGGGATGCCATTTATTGGCCGTTACTACACTGAGTTTGATGTGGATAGAGGCCGAGTGGGATTTGCTTTGGCAAAAAATGTATAAAATTTATCAAAATGTTTAGAAAATCTTTCATTGTCATCTTTTATTGTGTACTTATCATCATTTTTTAAATTATTTGTTTAATTTTCGATAAGAAAACATTTAATTTTCTAATCGGCAACCGACTTAGTTCGCAGATTATCAATGTGAATTTTTGCGTAATGCCTACATAAGTGCGACTTAATTTTCAACAGCAATACTTTATCGTGAATGCAACTGATATGGGCTTATAGTTATTTGGAATGCGAATTTTTGCGAGTAATTGCATTCGCTAATGTCATTGTTGCATGGCCGTCTAATAATCGATATAATCAATCTATTCTTTCGAAAAGCTGATTACTCCTTCATTATCAATCTTAATTTAGCGCACACTTAATAATTTATTTTAAAACAATTATTTTTATTTGTTATAACACAAAATATTAAATAAAATATTTTTAAATTTGATTGATCAATAGGACGGATGATCAATAAAAAAGTTTATGTTTCGAATGCGAGCGATTGTATACATAACGGCCGCCAAATGTCGATGTAAATGATAGCTCTAGTACAATTTCTTTTTTGTATGTCGTAACGTACAGAAAGAAATTTACTGGAAATTTCGAAAACATGTTCCGTTTTCTCGTGATAACTGTGATGCTGACCAACGCGTAAATCCATAACTAAGTTCATTCATTGTATTGTAAGTTTAAGTTACATATCAGTATAATAATTATTGAATTTAAAAAAATTAACCTATTTCATTGTGATCGCAATCGATTTTCTGAGATCCTAAAATTATGTAAATGTGGTTGCATACATAGAACGATAAATCTTAAATAGAAAGTTATTTGTGCAATAAAATAAGAGTTTTTGATTTTATAATAATGTTAAAAAAATCATTCTTTTTCATTCAGTCTTTGCTCGATATAATATAATTAATTGATTCCATCTTTATATATTTATCATTATGTGTTATTAATTAAAGCCGTAGACAATATTCAGAAATCAAAGTCGCGCGAACGTCGAGCGCAATAATGGCCATGCGCAGAATCGAATGCGCACCGGTTCGGCCGCCATGTTAACGCGTCATTGTTACGTCATACACGTCATACGTGAATCGGAGTCATACGCAGTTACGCGGATCGTTGTACATTCGCACTTTTCGCGTCTTTTAACCGTAAATAAACGAATATCGCGAGTGAACGAGCGTCGAGAGTGTCCAAGGATGATCGCGCGACTTTCATAATATGTCAGTGAAAGTGCGCGACAGATGTTTTGACAGTTTCGGTAATGGCGCGATCGCGAAGATGGAGCGAAGTCGCGTCGCGTTATTCGCGCCCTTGATGATGATGCGAGCGAATATCGGGAGTGCCGAATAAAGTGTCGCGCGTTCGCGTTGATGATATCGTGTGAGTTAGTGTGCATCAAGATCATAATGGGACGTCCCGAGACGAGCGAGAGGAGCGGCCTGTGGAACAACCGGTGAACGGTGAGTAGATTTGATTTATCATATTTGCGTGACAATTCGTGCTCATTCGACGCTTATACAGCATCGCGATGTCCCGAATTACGTTCGGACAAATCGGCGCCGCGTCATAATTCGATGCGACGCGATGCAATTCAAGTAAAGTCGATCGCGTGAAGATGGTTAGGCTAGAAGCGAATTGAAGTTTATTTTGTATACGCGCGTGCAGTGCTGCACAGTCTATCTCGTAGGGTTGCCAACTGTCAAACGGTAAATTTTTTCGATCTAACCTAACCAAACCTAACCTAACTTCTCAGTGTCTTTGGATGTCGAATGTAAACACAAGCGTATGTTGCCTGGATTTTATCATGCTTTCAAAAATAATATTTAATTATTTCATTAGTGTATTACATTTTATTATGTAATATATTAATCGTATTAAATGTGCAACGTACAGTTTTACACATTTTAATGAGGAGCATATAATATAATTGGTTAGGTTAGATTAAATTAAAACAACCTGCTGTGATTCATTTAACGTAATAGGATTAATTTGTCGAATGTGCAGCTATTGAAGTTACATGATATTTGTGGACACATTTTTAAAGTAATCATGAGTGTCTTATCTCATCTCGATTATATGATATTAAAATATAAAATATTTATGTATTCCACATTAACGTTATTCATTACAAGTACTATATTACTACATTACAAGTACTTTTCTTATATCTCAATCATATTCAACCATTTATTTCATCGATGAAGCTTTTCATATATCGCAGACAATATGATACTGTGTAGAATTTTACACAGGTAATATATGGCACAAAAATAATTTGCTCTTAAGTATTGTGCGCATTTCTCAAAAATAAATCAAATTAAATTATTTTCAGTAGGATCACTACATTGCCAGGATAGTATCTTATTATAACTGCGATATTATCACCTTTTAATATGTATGTGCAGTATTACATACATAAAATATATAAATTTATTTGAAACCTATGGAAATCTTTATCTTATTTATAATATTTATGATATTATAAAAGAAAATTGCAACTCTAATTAAACAGAGCAGTGGAATAATTGGTTGATACTTATGCTGGTCTACAATATTTATCCTTTTTTCACCATTAGACTTTTGGTGCTTTTTTATACTTATATATCATAAGAAAGAGAAAATAAAATTAAAGTTGAATACTGAATGTGCTCTAAAGTAAATCTCATCTAAATAAATAAATGCATAAATGTGCGCCCCACATTCCTCATGAAAAAAATACATAATATTAATTTTTATGTATTATTATTTTTAGATTTGTTTTTTATTCTTTTAAATTCTCTAGATGCACTTTTCATTTCTCCTCTCTTTCTTTCCAACTACTAAATGTAGATCTATCATTTTTAATATTGATCTGTCATTTTTAGTGTACATTATTGCAGTAAGTGGAATAAAGAGCAAATCTTTTGGCACATTTAAAATGTACAGGAAAGTCAGTTTTATCTGATGCGTTTTTTTTCAATAGAAATATCTGAAAAAATTCATACGTCTTTCTTAATCTTAGTCTTTCTAAATAAAAATTAGAATAATAAATTTGCAAAATAATTTGCTTTAATATATTTTTATTGCAAACATATGAAGCAAAGTGCTCAAGGTGCATCACTATGAAAACATCGATAGAATAAAAAATAGATCGTATACAAAAAAATTAAAATATTTACACTACATATTTAATATAGCATTTAATCGATATGTGCAGTAATACAATAAAATCTAATTTTCTCTCGAATTTTTTCACGAAATTTAAACTACTAAAAAAACATCAAATATTCAAATTGTTCAATAGTCTTACGAAAGAAGCAGTTCTCGCTTAAAGAATCTTTAGAAAAAAAAGTATAAGAAATTCTAAAGAAAAAAAAGGACAGAAAATTTTAAATCACATGGATATTTAATTTTATACTAATATTTTTAATGTAACACTTCATTTATAAAGATTTTATTTTGTGAAACGTTTATATATAAAAGTACAATGATTATACGGCTTCTTTAATCTATTTCATCTTCGCAAGGTTTTCGTTTATAAAATATTTGTGCCTCTGGATATTTTTCTGTCAGAAAATGCAGCTTTTCATATTTCGTTAGCAATTGTATTTTCGTTTCATCGGAGTTTTGTCGTTCGTTCAAATCCAACATTCCAATCTTCTTTTGTAAGATGGAAGTTTAGTAAAGAATGGCAGTAATTTCTTCTTTTTCAATACCATTCTTTTATCCATTATATATTGCATAAAATCGAGAGGCTCATTAGACGGTACTTCTGGTTTTCTGATTTGCGCTGGTGAAGCAAGTACTACTGGATAATTCCCATTTTCTGATTTAACTTTGACTAAATGCTATCATTTTTCATCTGCAAATTGTTGATATTTCTGCAAACATTTCCATTATTTTGAGATTGATTTGTTTCATGATATATTGCAATAATTAAAGTATGATTTCTGATATAATCTGCCATGAGACTGCAGAGAAAGCCAGCTTTAATTCTTTATTTTGTACAATATTTTTAATAATATAATAATTAAATTAAAGTTCTAGGAAAATATGCTTGAAATACTAAATAAAAAAGATTGTTTCTTATGTACAACCTTCTAAAGTTTAAGTAAACAAAAAATTATTGTTAATAATATACATATATAAATTGATAATTAAATAAAACAATTAATTAATTAATCGAAACATTCCACGTTTTTTTAGCTTTATGTCTAACATATATATATGTATATATATTTTTATAAATAAAAAATGTTTCTTTCTAATATAAATTAAATAAAAAGTATAATATGCCTTTAAATACTTTATATACATACCTGTTGCAATAAACCAATAAAGAATGCTTTTACATTCCTCCTTGTACTTTGGCATACATATCCTTTATGCCAATTATTTCGCAACACGCTTTTATCGCATGATAACAAACAAGCCCATTATCCTTCATGAATTTTTTTTACAAATATTTTTATATTCTCAAACTGTGTAAAGAAATCATGTAACACTTCAAAATACAAAGTGATATTAAAAGAGAAGAAATAAATTTTATATTATATAGTATTGACAATTATTTTCTTACCAATGTGTTCCTTATATGTAGGAATATACATTAATCTTTGACGAGTCCTATTTTTAACTGTCTTTAGAGATGCTTTGGCTTTTGATAACGTAAATCCAGCTAATCCATTTCCATTTCCAGTTACTATAAATGAACTGATTCTAGTCTTACGTGCTAAATTACCGGTTATATAAGTTATCATTTTGTTTTCCAAAATCCAGGTTTCAAAACTTTCAAATGTATCCCATGCAGAAAACAAAGATATTAATTATATAAGAGTCTAATATCAGAACTGAAACATCAAAAAAAAATTGAAAATAGACATCGTATCACATGATTTTTGTGTGTGTGTTATTTAACCATTATAATCCAATAATAGCATAAATATTAACCTTTTCCAATAGAATTTGATTCAATGCTTCTGCCATCGATTGTAACACTCGTCCAATCACATTCCAATGGCGATAATTTTATTTGCATTGGTCTGGTCTGACTTTGTGGTAATTCCATAAGTTTTTGCTTTCTTTCAAGATTTACAAACAGTTTTTGCTAAATACACATTTTTAATAAATAAATATTTCCTTTATTAAAGATTTATTATTTGTTTCAAAGAATTTCATATTGTTACATTTTTTCAAATTTACATAATATATGCTAAAAGAAATGTATATATGCTAGTAGAAATATATATATTAGAACTAAGACCTATATAGTATAGATTTTTAAGTTTTGTACAGTATCTTAAGTTAAAATATTCATATTATTCCAAATTTAATTTAATAAATTGTTATTATTCCAAATTTAATTTAATAAATTGTTTATAGCAAAAAATCTGAAATTAATAAATATTTAAATATATATTATATTTCAAGATTACGTATATTTTCTTGTCCTTTTAAAAACCTCAAAAATTCATCAAAAAAGGTGATTTATAATTACATAAATATAGTTTTTCCGCACAAAATTATACAAAAAAGTGTCGGCTAATTAAATGCTGCTTTTTCCAAACTTTCTATTGTAAAGTCAATGTTGCATGATTGTCAGTTTAGTCGTTATAAATGTATTCTTTCGAAAGAATTGTTTCTATTATTAATCATAAATTTATATAAATAAAGTTAATTAAGAATACGCAATCATGCAAAATATGATGTATTTAAATTAAATTTATCGATGGAAATCCATCAGGATTTTTCGAATGTTTCGCGCGTTCTCTACCTGTTTAAGCATTCATCAGAGGGACACGCGTGATCGTATATATATATATATATATATATATATATATATATATATATATATATATATATATATAACGCTATCGAATACCAATACAGTGTTAAGGGAGAGATAGTAAAGGACAACACTTTATTTATCTGCGTATGTGATCATAAAGTGTCGAAAGAAAGTCGTTGTTGAAAATTTTAGAAATCGAGACTTCAGCAGTAAATTAATTCTAAAATATGTTTCGTCTTCTTGTGACGGTGCTCTTTATGACGACTGACGCGCAGTACTTATTTCCATATATATTTTATTTTATATTGGCATAATAAATATCGAAAGTATAAAGATCGAATCTTTCTCGTGTCCGACCTCTTGGATTAAACGCGTAACTTGAGCAAATGCAATTAATACTTCAATACAAATTGGATAAAATTTCTTTGGTTAAAATATATGTTTTTATTTATTAGTCAAAGAGTAAATCAAATAAGAATATTTTTGAAAAAATGTCTCATTGTACTTTCGTAACGTTCGCTTTTATTCATCTTGCTTTTATCCCTATTTAAACGACAACCATTAATATAAATTTCTTTAGAGGTCATCAAATATATCTGCATTCACAGAATGTTATTTATGTTATTTCAAGGCAATATCACTGGACTTGGCGAATAACTGATAATTTGTCAAAAGTTCCTTCAGTTCATAATTTTCCTTCAGTACGTTTGACCAATATCGACAATGTGATTTATTATGGTACTATTAGCATTGGAACTCCACCGCAAAACTTTAAAGTTGTATTTGATACTAGTTCACCATATCTTCGGATATTTCCTAAAATGTCCACAAATCCTGTTGTTTGTAAGTATCGTTTATATATACATGTACATGTGTATGCTTTTACTTTTAATTGATTAAATAAATTTCATTTCATCAATATCGATCTTAGATAACCTTAAACTTCAATTTTTTAAATCCGCCAAATATATATATATATATGCTATCTACAATTATATTTTTCAAGTATAATCTTGGGATTTAAAAATTAAATATTATAGAGAAGCATATTTACTTTAATTTTATAGTAATATTTAATATTATAGTGTAAATATTACAATGGCAACTTTGGAATTGGAAAATGTTTAAATTAATTTAAATAATTTATCACATTCACTCTTTGAAGATACAAACAAACATTGATGACAAGAACATGAAACAAAGATGATTTATAAATTAATTCGATAAAAACATGTACATGTACAACATAAATAATTATTTACAAAATCATGTTGCATATTTATTATAGATTAAAAAGATATTATGTCTATGCATATTTAAAAATTTTTTTTAATATTTCTAATTTTTAATATTACTGAATATGCTTCAGTTGTACGTAATAAATATACGTATGTACGTATGTATTGCAAGCCATATATAGTAAATAAAAATAGACTACTTCAAGTACGATACCTCGATTACAATGTAACAGGATTCCTATCTAACGGTACAGTAAATGTAAGTCATTATTAAATAAACATTATAATTTAATTTTAACTAAAATGATAGTTTAAACATTACTCAAGCAATCGTGTTCTTTTTTTTGCGTAGCAATGTACGATGTATTATTTTAATACAAACTTTACCGTAGGTTGCCAACCTCAATATAGAGAAGCAAACATTTCTAGAAGTGGTAAACATATCAGACGAACATATACTTGAATTGTACTCAAATATAACTGACCGAAAATTTGATGGTCTTTTGGGCCTGAGTTATTTCAACATACCTGTCAATGAAATAAAGCCTGTCTTTTACAACATGATTCAACAGGAACTAGTGTCATCAAGCATTTTCAGTATTTATCTAAATAGGTACATATCTTTCCTACCTATAAGCATCGTATACCTATCTAAACGATATTTTTTAATATTAAAATATTATTTATATTTGCACATTAAATAAACTTAATTTTAATTATCACACTCATACATATTGCAATATAAAGAACATAATTTGCAGAAACGCTTCAGCCGATTTGGGTGGTAAATTGATATTCGGTGGTTCCGATCCTGCTTATTACGAAGGAAAGTTTACATATTTTCCTGTTACTCGCAGAGGATACTGGCAATTTACCATTAATAAGTGCGTTATTTATTAAATTACATTAATGATATTTCAACAAATTGTTAACGTCATCGTTTTGTAGTATCCAACTAAATAATATTACTTGTTGCGAGAAAAGCTGCCAAGCTATTGTTGACACAAGTACTTGGAAAATAATTGGACCAGAAAAGGATGTTTCACTTATTAATCGACTTATTGAAACTAATTCACAGGGAAGTGTAAGTAAACGATATCTTTCAAGTAATTGTATCTTTCACAAAGCACATAATCTTTGATAGAAAAAAGTAAATTACAAAAAATTGATAATAGCGATAAAGAATTAAATTATAGGTATGTTCAAATGAAACATTAATTTCTATGGAACAATAACGTTAATTCTTATTTCCGAAATACTTATATTCACTAAATATGATTAATTGCTAATCTGATATTATGTTCTATTTAAAGGTGGATTGCAATAGAATTTCTCAATTGCCTATAATCGGGTTTAATTTGGGTGTTTTTAATTGGGTTAGTAAGACGTTCGTTCTTACTGGTAGGGATTATATCATTCGGGTGAGTGCCATAAGAAAATTATTTAATCTCTATTTATTAATTTGTTAAAATTATTTAAATTATTTAAATATGTATAAGAGAAGTTTATATCGTGTATATAATTCTGCTCAGCATCCAGATGATAAAAGTACATGTGTAACCGTCTTCCGGAAACACGAGTCAAAATATGACGATTATGTAAAATGGGTTCTGGGGATGCCATTTATTGGCCGTTACTACACTGAGTTTGATGTGGATAGAGGCCGAGTGGGATTTGCTTTGGCGAAAAATGTATAAAATTTATCAAAATGTATAGAAAATCTTACAGTGTCACCTTTTATTGTGTACTTATCATCATTTTTTAAATTATTTGTTTAATTTTCGATAAGAAAACATTTAATTTTTTAATCGCCAACCGACAAAGTTCGCAGATTATCAATGTGAATTTTTGCGTAATGCCTACATAAGTGCGACTTAATTTTCAACAGCAATACTTTATCGTGAATGCAACTGATATGAACTTATAGTTATTTGGAATGCGAATTTTTGCGAGTAATTGCATTCGCTAAGGTTGTTGCATGGCCGTCAAATAATCGATATAATCAGTCTATTCTTTCGAAAAGCTGATTACTCCTTCATTATCAATCTTAATTTAGCGCACACTTAATAATTTATTTTAAAACAATTTGTTTTAGTTATAACACAAAATATTAAATAATATATTTTTAAATTTTATTGATCAGTAGGACGGATGGTCAATAAAAAAGTTTATGTTTCGAATGCGAGCGATTGTATACATAACCAAATGTCGCCAAATGTCGATGTAAATGATAGCTCTAGTAGACGAGTACAATTTCTTTTTTGTATGTCGTAACGTACAGAAAGAAATTTACTGGAAATTTCGAAAACATGTTCCGCTTTCTCGTGATGACTGTGATGACGACCGACGCGGAAATCCAAAACTAAGTTCATACATTGTATTGTAAGTTTAAGTTACATATCAGTATAATAAATATTGAATTTAAGAATTGACCTATTCCTTCGTTTTGACCACATTTGATCCTCTGAGATTCCAAACTTATGTAAAACTTATGTCGTGCAATGCAATAAAAGTTTTCAATCTTATAATAATGTTATTAAAATCATATTCTCTTCGCTAGATTTAATAAGAGTTGGAGGTAAATGGTTACAATGGATCTAGTAAAATTAATCTTGAAACGCTTACGTAAATATTATATTTTTGTGGATAGAAAATTTCAAAAGTTTTCCCGTTTAACTTCCTACATCTTCGTATGTGAACAAGAATTAAAATGTTTCCGTTCAGTGATAGAACAGCTCGTTGTCACCGCTTTAATCTTGTTTTAAAATAATCTTGTTTTAATATAAAATATTTCCAAACCGCATTAGATTATCGATTTGTCGGCTGGATTTTATCTGTATTATGCATCATGTGTTCTGAAATGCATAATTGCGATTTTGATGCTGTAGAACACAACAAGCGCGTTTTTCTGATTTACTGTATCATATTAGTCGTTAGAAATTACGATGATAAATGAACGGTAATGTATTTTTTTCATGCAATTAAAAGAAAATATCTCGGTCACTTTTTCTTATATACTTGCGTAAATCAGGAATACAGGAATTGATTGCATTTAGAGATTGGAAAAATCGATATTTGCTTTGTTCATTTGCTTATGCATATGCTTATGAATGATTCGAGAAAATTTATACGAGGTCAGAATTGAAGGCCAATTACTTAAAACATAACTAACCATCCTCGTACGTTCTAGATTTATGTTTCTTGCGTATCGTTATGTACGAAGAAGTGCAATAGATTTTACTGAATGGTCCTAACGGATTTAATGACTTCTCTGGTGTATATTCTAAATATATTTCTGGATTCTAAAGATATTTCTGGAGTATAAAGAGACGATTTTTAACTGAACAGTTTTGTATATATACATATTGTAACAAATAACCACTATCCACCAGAACTGGTTATTCCGGATTATCGCTGATGCCTGTTTCAGCCAGACATGAAATAATTTAATTATTGTACAAATTGATTATAAACATTACATCGTTATTATTATTTATGAATGTTAATTACAATATATGTTTATATATGCTATATATGTTTGTATTATATCAATATTATCAATATTATCAAATTTTTTAAATCAGGACGAATTTAGTGCAAGGAACTAATAATAAAATTACAATGAAAAAAATACACATTTTTTATTGTATAATGTGTTTATCTTATTATATTTTATCTTATTATACGTTAATGTTATCTTTTTATACGTTAATTTTTATAATGTTATTAAAGTTCATCATTATTAAGTATCATCATTATTAAGAGTTATCTTATTAAAAGTTATCTTATTTTGATAAATTAATGACACATTTTTTAATAAATATTTTTAATAAATATTTAAAGAAATATTTCCTTATTAGAGATTTATTATTTGTTTTACAAAATTTCATATTGTTACATTTTATGAAATTTACATAATATATGCTAAAAGAATTGTATAGTAGAAATATATATACTAAAAGTAAGACTTATATAGTATAGGTTTTTAAGTTTTGTGCAGTATCTTAAGTTAAAAAATTCATATTAATATTATCGCAAATTTAACATAACAAATTGTTCATAGCAAAATTTCTGAAATTAGTGAATAAATATATATTTCGAGATTATGTAGCATATATAAGATATTTTCTTGTTCTCTTAAAAACTTCAAGAATTCATCAAAAAAAGTGATTTATAATCACATAAATATGATTTTTCCGTACGAAATTATATAAAAAAATGTCGGTTAATTAAAAACTGTTTTTTTTTTCAAACTTCTTATTGTAAAAATAATGTTGCATGACTGCCTGTTTAGTCATTATAAATGTATTCTTTCGAAAGAATTGTTTTTATTATTAATCATAAATTTATGTAAATAAACGTTCTTAATTAACAATACACGATCATGCAAAATATGATATATTTAAATTAAATTTATCGATGGAAATCCATGAAGAATTTTCGAATGTTTCGCGCGTTCTCTACCTGTTTAAGCATACAATAGAGGGACACGCGTGATCGTATATATATATATATATATATATATATATATATATATATATATATAGCGCTATGACATACCGATACAGTGCTAAGGGAGAGTTAGTAAAGGACATCACTTTATTTATCTGCGTATGTGATCATAAAGTGTCGAAAGAAAGTCGTTGTTGAAAATTTTAGGAATCGAGACTTCAGCAGTAAATTAATTCTGAAACATGTTTCTTCTCGTGGTGGTGACGGTGCTCTTTATGACGACTGACGCGCAATATATATATCCGTATATATTTTATTTTGTATTGGAATAAATATCGAAATTATAAAGATCGAATCTTTCTCATGTCCGACCTCTTGGATTAAACGCGTAACTTGTGCAAATACAATTAATACTTCAATACAAAATTTCTTTGGTCAAAATATATGTTTTTATTTATTAGTCAAAGAGTAAATCAAATAAGAATATTTTTGAAAAAATGTCTTATTGTACTTTCGTAACGTTCGCTTTTGTTCATCTTGCTTTTATCCCTATTTAAACGACAACCGTTAATATAAAATTCTTTAGAGGTCATCAAATATATCTGCATTCACAAAAAGTTATTTATGTTATTTCAAGGCAATATGACTGGACTTGGCAAATAACTGACAATTTGCCAAAAGTTCCTTCAGTTCATAGTTTTTCTTCAGTACGTTTGACCAATATCGACAACGTGATTTATTATGGCACTATTAGCATTGGAACTCCACCGCAAAACTTTAAAGTTGTATTTGATACTAGTTCCTCATATCTTCGGATATTTCCTAAAAAGTCCACGAAAAAAGGTCATGTTCCTTGTAAGTATCGTTTATATATACATGTACATGTGTATGCTTTTACTTTTAATTCATTAAATAAATTTCATTTCATCAATATCGATCTTAGATAAGCTTAAACTTCAATTTTTTAAATCCGCGAATATATATATATATATATATATATATATATATATTTTATCTACAATTATATTTTTCAAGTATAATCTTGGGATTTAAAAAGTTGAATATTATACAGATACATATTTATTTTAATTTTATAGTAATATTTAATATTATAGTGTAAATATTACAATGGCAAACTTTGGAATTGGAAAATGTTTAAATTAATTTAAATAATTTATCACATTCACTCTTTGGAGATACAAACAAACATTGATAAACAAAGATGATTAATAAATTAATTCGATAAAAACATGTACATGTACAACATAAATATTTATTTACAAAAGCATGTTGCATATTTATTATAGATTAATAAGATAATATGTCTATGCATATTTTAAAATTTTTTTTAATATTTCTAATTTTCGATATTACTGAAGATGCTGCAGTGGTAAACCCATATATAGTAAATAAAAATAGACTACTTAAAGTACGATACCTCGATTACAATGTAACAGGATTCCTATCTACGGGTACAGTAAATGTAAGTCATTATTAAATAAACATTCTAATTTAATTATAACTAAAATGATAGTTTAAACATTACTTAAGCAATCGTGTTCTTTTTTTTGCGTAGCAATGAACGATGTATTATTTTAATACAAACTTTACCGTAGGTTGCCAACCTCAATA